CGTGCCCTAGGGAAGCAGGAACCAATGTTCTTGCCTCATCTAGTCATCGCGTCTTAATCTAAAGGAAGCATTAACAGAGCTCATCTTTCTCTGTCCAATCTAGGACCAAAGAGCTACTGTTTTAAAACTGCATTTTATAAGCTTTAATACCAAACCAGTGCTGAAGTTCCATCTCCTAATCTTTGCATGGAGCATGTTAAAAATCAACTTCAAAATCAATACTCGGAGGGAAAAAAGGCCAGTTAAAAATCTGAATGCAGTACCCAAAATAGAAATGCTTTCATAAATATGCCGGTCTTGAACATTTAATAAATAGTGATTATTACATGGCCAGTAATCTACACTGAGCCTTTTTATGAGTTAATAGGCAATGAAAAAATATTTCTTGGGTGAATTCTTTTACCATTATCTCATGTGAGATCACTTCAGTTGAATCTGCTTTGTTTGTTCTTTAGTGATAATATGGAATCCTTTCTAATCTGCTGGAGTTTTGTTTTTGGTTCTTGTTTGTTTGTTTTTGCCTTTTGTATTTTTGAGACAGGGACTCCCTCTGTCACCCAGGATGGTGTGTACAGTGGTGCGATCACAGCTCACTGCAGCCTTGAACTCCTGGGTTAAAGCAATCTTCCTGCCTCAGCCTTCAGGTGCACACCACCATGCCTGTCTTTTTTTTTAAGAGGCAAATGTCTGCCTATGTTGCCCAGTCTGGTCTTGAACTCCTGGTCTCAAGCAATCCTCCCACCTAGACCTCCCAAGTGTTGGGATTCCCGGTGGGAGCCACTGTGCGCAGCCTTGATCTGCTGTTTTAATTAAGGCATCTTTTCATTAGCTTAACGATGGAGACACTATTAACCAAGATTGAGAAAAGAAGCAGCCAAAAGAACATTGTGAGATGTACAATGAGAAAATACACCGAAACCCTAATGTAATAATGAGTTTTCCTGGGACAATAATAAATACATGCATGATAAAAATAACTTTACCCAAACAAACTTTAAATGCTTAAACTCAAGCCAGCATTGCTGAAAATAATTTTTTAAAAACAAAGGAACAAAACTCAAGGTCTAGGCCTACCCTACCACAGCTGGCTTGAGGTAGAGGTAGAATGCGTGTCTTCCCATTAGATCATCATGAATCACTTCAAAGTTCTTGCTGTCTTTTAATTTCTTGGGATTACCCATTAACACAAATGTTCAAGACTCTGAGGAATGGAACACATAGAAATTAAAGACCTGAAGTCTCATAATGCCCTTTAGTCCTATCTTGAAAATCAAAACAGCTAACAGTAAAGAAGATAATCCCTTAAGGGCAATGGAAAAACCCTAACAAACTATCCATCCATAACCGCTAAAGAATTCGAATTTCTGGAGAAGACAGGCTGTAACTGCTTATGAAATGGATCACTCAAGTGTGTCCAGAGTGCTTGCTCTGTCTTGCTAATCTAAAGGCATGCTCCAAGCCTGTAAACTTTAAACTACTAACTGTAATCCCATTTAAAGAGCTTTGTTTTCTTGGGCTCTTCTGCCATAATTCAAATAATTATGTCAAAATGTTCTCACATGTATAATGATATTAAAAAGGAGTCTATGAAGTCAATTAAGGATCCCCTTAGTAAAGAGGAAAAACATTCAAAATTGTAAAGAGTTCTTTGTGGCTAGGAGTTGAGGAATTTATTTAAGATGTATTTGATACTATGTAACTTTGTCAGAAATAATAATTTCTACTTATCTATCTTTATTCTAAAAGCTCTAGGAATATATAACAATAACACGATTTTTTGGTAATTATACATACAGGCAAATGTACTTAATGGGCACAAAATATTCAGGATTACATTGTAGGTCAGAAGTATATTAGTGACATTAATTCAAATATATCAAAATACATATTTTAGTGATGACTTTATCAAAGTTTGGTTAAATATACTTCTATGTTGATGTTACTTAGTAATACTTTTTAGCCAACTATATTCAAATATTATAGTTTTACAAGAAAATACATAGTCTGATACATACCATTGCATGCTTATATTACAAACTACCAAAAATATCTCAAATTCTGAATTACTAACTTCAACAAAAGTATATTCTGGGAACATTGATTTTTCACTTAATGTACCAGAAAGGAAGGAGAAATGGAAACTTCCAAGGATGTGAATGTGCATTAAGTTTATAATTTTAGAACTTACTCAGGGATTCTTTCATATCCTGATGTGGGGTCACCATTGGTGTTCAGTTTTCATATTTAAATGGTATCAGATCTGTACACAGCTTGATTTCCTTTTTTAACAAAATTCCTATAGAATGTACCAATATTAAAAAGGGGATTTTAAGTGAACCCCTACTTTGGGCCATAATTTTATGTCAGCCAGCAGGAGCCAAGAGAACATAACCAGGGTGGTGAGATATAGCTAGATAAGACTCTTTAAAGGCACAGGAGGTCACTTCTTCAACTACATTTGCCAAAACTCTTGGTTCAACAATCAGATAGGCCACCACTGTGGTAGTACAGGGGTCGACAGCCCTAAGTGCAGCTTTCTGGGCTACGGGTACCTTCTAGGATGCTCTAGAGCTTGAAACTGTTCACCCGAAAGAGAGTAGAGGGAGGCTGGGTGAATACAATGTTCAGTGCACTGGATTTTCCTCATAACCCTCAGCCCCACACCTCCCGGCTCAGAGGGAGGGTTGCCTTGCCCATTTTACAAATCCTTGGCTACAGCTCTGACGATGATTCTGCAATGCAGATGGTTAAAAATAACCGCATGCACCTCAGATGGGTTTGAAGAGTACATTTTACTTTGTCCATGAAAAAATGCACCTCCACACATGTCTCTGTCCTGATAGATTCTCAGGCAAATTATCGGCTCCCTCCAAGGCAGTCAGCTGACTGTGAGTAAACTAGCAATTTGAAAACAATAAATCTGCAGTGAGAAGTAGAACTCATCATATTAAATATCATTTTCCTAAATTCCTCATTTCAGTTCTGTTTAAAAGGCCTCTTACGATTCAAAGTTAAATTGTCAAAATAACACTCCAAAAGGAAAGCAGAGAAAGAAAGACAAGCATCCTCCAGTTTTATCTTTCAATCTTTTCGAAGCTCTATATTTACCGAATCACTCTTGTGAGAAGGGGGTTGCTTTGCAAAAAGCTTGCTTTGGAGAAATGCATTAAATCTTTCAAGCTATCAGGGCTATTTTTGTCTTTCTATATTAGACACACCCCAAGAAGTATGGCAGTCTGCTGACGTCTTCATCAGCCTCTCTCTTGCATCTTTGTTATGGCAGCAGAGGGTGAAGCACGTTCTTCTGCACCCCTGACCAGCCCAAGCATCTTTTAAAGTTTCTAATTAAATCATGGCTGCTTATGCCCTCAGATATTTGTCATTTGCAAGGGAAACCATGGGGCTGATATTTACCTAGGTATTTCATATATATTTTGAAATTTGAGTTTTTAATTAACACTTGAGATTAAAATAATTTTAACCCAGGCATCTATCTAACTTGTGGAATGAATGCATGCTCTCCCTCCTTCTGGACTCAGTGATAGCTAACTAGCCTGACTGGCTTAACATAACCTTTTCTCTCTCGTCTTTTACTCTTCTCTCTTTCAGAAACAGCTCAATATGTGACACAATCGTTCTCATTCTCATGGTTCCTATATTTTTGTAGTGATAGTTTCTATTGCACAATAAATACATATTGCAGGATTTGATGATGTTTGGCAAATGGCGCACACACAAAAAGACGATACCGAGAGGCAAGGTCAGGGTAGTCTGTCTCCAAAGTTTTCACCATTTGAGTACCCCCTTTTCTTCCCTCAAATAACCCAGCTTCTTCCAGTTCTTATATTTCCCCTCCACCCACCCAGTGCCCCAGTCTTATCATTAAATGACTAAGTCACCACTTTTGAGGGTGTTAATTGTTAAGTGATACCTCCTAGATGTAGTAACATTTTTTAAAAGGACAGACTTGAGGAAGAAAAGAGAGGGACCTTCACACACACATTGTCATCTCCTCCAAACATGTACAAGGAGTCAGTGATGACTTGCGAACCGCCTCTGAAAGTTTGCCAGTCATGGACAGAGTCCCTTTACATCCTCTACTTTGAAAGCTTTCCTACAAATGTCTTTGAACTTCCAAACAACCTAAAAGGCAGGTAAAGGATTATTATCACCAGCTTATCAAGGATGATGCTAAGTTCCAAGAGGTTAAATGAGTCCCCAAAGGTCACACAGCTGGTTGGTGTCAGCCTAGATGGCAGCAATCCTGGCACTGCAAGCTCTCAAAATAAATTATTTTTCCCACCACAGAGACGGTTCTCAAATTTCATCCCTGGAAACTGATGGCCGCATGACACTTTCCATGAATGTCCTCCTATCTCTAATTACCTGCCTTGTTCAGTCCAAATGAGTTCTAGAATATAAAACCTAGCTTTTTCAGCTGACTGTCTCTAATATACAGGAATATAATAAGGGTACTTTTGTTCTATCATATAATATTTCTGCTATCAGTTGGTTAAATGATATTACATTGAGCTCAGGGTTGTACTAACCCTAGACTAAGAGGATACTTTAAAAATCTAAAAAGGAACAGGAAAAAAAAGCACAAAAGAACCTAAAATTTACACTCCAGCCTCCCATTTGGGAAATACCCTTTCAAACTATTCTAAGGCTGAGTGTGGTGGCTCTCACCTGTAATCCCAACACTTTGGGAAGCTAAGACGAGAGGACCACTTGAGGCCAAGAGTTCAAGACCAGCCTGAACAACATAGGGAGACCCCCATCTCTACCAAAAATAAAAAATTGGCCAAGGATGGTGTGCACACCCACAGTCCTAGCTACTTGGGAGGCTAAGATGGGACGATCGCTTAAGTCCAAGAGGTCAAGGCTACAGTAAGCCATGATCATGCCACTGCACTCCAGCCTGGGTCACAGAATGAGACCCTGTCTCTAAATAAATAAGTAAGTACTCTATTTTAAACAATTTTGTTCTTAAACCACAGCTTCTGCTGTCATATTGGGAATCGTGGCTATCAGAGAAAGGAGATGAACATTGTGTGTTGGCAATGAGATCTTCCATGGAAGCATTTAGAAGAAATGTTATTAGGTTTGTTATGCTGGGAAGTTTTCCTACTGCTCTGTTACAGCATTAAAACCTGGAGGGCATCATTCATCACTCAGCATGAGATACATAAAACTACCCCCAGAGCACAGATCACCAAGTGTTCTTCCAAAGACCCTGTTTCAAACTAAAGGAGTGAAAAGTTTTCAAGTCATGTTTCTTAGTCAAAGCAGTCACCAATGTTGCTTTTTGTGTAGGCTTCCAGTGTGCACACCCCTGCCAACACCACACAACCCTAGCAATGCCCTCCATTCTCAACGACAATCCACAGCTGCCCTCTGTTGCCAGGATAAAGTCCACATCCCGCAACCTAGTATACGACTCTTCATGGCACAGTCCAAGGACATCTTTCCAGCCCATGCCTGACACTTTTCTGTGTGTTTCACACAGATTCAAGTATCGCCTATTTCTCAAAAACACCCTAAACTTCCCTGCTGCTTTATCTGTTCAAATCACTTCTTTCACCTGGAATGTTCTGTCCCTTTTCTATTTATCCAATTCCCACTCAGTGTCAAAGCCCAGCTCAAAAACTTGCTTTTGCAGTTTTTTTGCTAATGCAGCAAATTGTTCATGACAGGTGCTCAATAAATTTAGTCAGGTGAATAAACAGAGGAATCTCATGCATCCACTCCACAGTCTTATGAGGCAGGAAGGCACAGTAGAGTCTTCCTGGCAGACCTACCCAATGTCAGTAATGAATCAGTAGGATGTTAGCAAGAACACTAGAAATTTTGCAGTTTGCTTGTTGCAACTTGTCCATTTTCTCCCGTCTATGACCCAGGGGCTTACACCTCTTGCTGTAGTTGAAGGTATAATGCATATGCCCTATACTAAGACATAAAGTTTTTGTCATTTGAGTCACAAAGTTTTGAGGTATTAATAATACAAACTTTTTTCCTAGAAGATTGTTTTTCTTATAAGATTGCATGCTTTAGAGGTAGTTAAAAAAAGCAAATCCCAAATAAATAGTTGAGATCCCAAATGGAAAACAGATGCCCGTCCTATACAGAGATGGCCAGATTGTCCTTGATTCACAGAGCATATCCGGTGTGGCAGTGTTAGCGAACAAGTGAGCTTGCGGTTCCTCTGGTGTCCTCCTCCCTAACTAAGTGTGTGCCTGTGGAGTGTGACTGGAGAGCTGACCAAATGCAATCCACCCAGCAGGGTCACCAAGGCCACTGAAGTGTGAGTCCGCATTTCTCAAGTCAATGTAATAGAATCTGAGCCTTGCACAGTGGAGGGTGGGTCAGAAGGCTATCTGGTAGCCAAGGGCACTGCTGGGGCTTTAGAAAGACAGCACAACGCTGTAATCGGACACTGTCCTGGGACATTCAGCCAGTTAATCATCTCAGTCACCCATATTTTATTCATAAACATGAGGAACGACATTTTCTTTGGCTGTTTGCTTTGCCTTTTGAAGTTATACCAACATTATACTGTCCCAATGTTTTCCTTTATGTCACATAAAATGCACCGGTATAGGTAAAGCATGTTGTCACCAGAGATGTCAACACCAACACTGGACTGGGACTAGCCGGTTACTGTTGCTTGCAGAGCTAGCATGATGAGCATTCGCAGTTCAAGCACAAAGATTTCAGTCGTTCTTCAAACCTCATTTAGGTTGTAAGTCCACAGAGATGTGTGACAAAGAACTATGTAATCTGAGACCAGAGTAGACCAAACTACCAAACAGTCTTATTGTCATCTTAATGATTCATTTTATGTCAGTCCTAAAGGAGATTTAAAATGGTAGGACTGGCCGAGTGTGGTGGCTCGCACCTGTAAACCCAGCACTTTAGGAGGCTGAGATGGGTGTTTCATTTGAGAACAGGAGTTGAAGACCAGCCTGGCCCACATGGTGAAACTCAGTCTCTACTAAAAATACAAAAATTGGATGGGGGTGGTGGCACGCACCTGTAATCCTAGCCACTGGGGAGGCTGAGGCATGAGAGTTGCTTGAACCTGGGAGGCAGAGGTTGCAGTGAGCCAAGATCACACCACTACACTCCAGCCTGGGGGAAAGAGTAAGACTCTGTCCTTAATTAATTAATTAATTAAGTGGTAGAATTATTTGTTTTATTTTTTAAATGGTAAAAATCAGCAGGAAATTCTTGGTAGCCAATCCATCAAACTTAATCACAAGGGGAGCCCAATCACGATGCGAGTTCACCCTAACAGGATGAATATATTCTTTCCACAAGATCCCCATTTCTCTTTTTTTAACCCTAATTGTACAGACATAAATGCAAAGACTTATCAGGAATATTTACAAATTACCTCTGGGCAAGGACTGTGCTTTACTCACTATTCTGCCATGGGCTCTAGCTCATCCCTTGACGCACGCATAGTAGGCTTTCCACCAAAGTGATTAAGAGCCAGGGCTTGGAGCCAGACTTTCGAGTTTGCTCTCACTAGCTACTTGTTTAGTGAATCTCTCCAGCCCTCAGTTTCCTCATTTGTAAAGTGTAAATAATAATACCAATACCAACTCATCTAATTATTGTGATAACTGAATGAATCAATGCACAGGAGGTGCTTAGCTGGACCTTAGCATATAGTCAATAAATGTGAGCTGGTCATTGCACTCTCATGACTTTACCTACGATCCATTGTTAAGCGGGGGTTGATGGGTCCTAAGGAAATATGCCCTTAATTCATCTGTTCTAAGGGAAAAAGAATATATATTAGATGATTGATAGATAGATAGATAGATAGATAGATAGATAGATAGATAGATAGATAGAGATAATTTTTTAATGTCCAACTCTCTAGATCAGTGATTCTCAAGGTATGATCTGGGGATATCTGGGGATTCCTAAGGACCCTCCAGAGAGTCCTGAAGGTCAAAAGTGTTTTCATAATAGCATAACATGTTATTTGCCTTTTTCATTCTCATTCTATCAAGCGTGTTCAGTGGAATTTTCCAGAGGCTACAAGATATGTGATGATATTATCACTTAGCAGTCAATGGAATGTGTGCTTATACATGCTTGTGTTTCAGACATTCCCCAGTTATACTTTTAAATACAGTAGAGAGTAGCAGATATAATCCATATAAGCCGATCTCTTTGGGATATACAATAATTTTTAAGAGTTTAAATGGGGCTTGAGATCAAAAACTGTGAGAATCTCTGCTAGACTATCTCAAGTCCCTAAGCTCCCATCTGAAAAGATAAAATAAGATAAGATAAAAATACCAAACTCATCTCTTAACTTTGAGACTCTGCCCCTAGAGCTAGGCCCCTGAAGCTACTCTGCCTGGATCTTGTTGTGTGTTTCAGGCTGTCTGGGTCCGATTTTCCTGATGAGGAGTGGCTGTGGGATTATGAGAAGCATGGCCATCGGCATTCCGTGATAAGAAGAGTCAAGCGGTTCCTGAGTGCCCACGAACACCCCTCCAGCCCCAGAAGAAGAAGCTATGGGAGGCAGACGAGTGACAGTTCCATGTTCTTACCCCGAGATGACCTCAGTCCAGCCAGCGATCTACTGGATGTGCCCTCAAGAAATCCCCACAGGACCTCACCCACCTGGAAGAAATCCTACTTCCCAGAAGGAAGCCCCACGCTGCACTCCAGCATAGGAGAGCTGTCCACCATCAGGGAGACCAGCCAGACAAGCACTTTACAGAGCCTGACCCCACAGTCCAGTGTGAGAACCTCCCCCATCAAAATGCCCACAGTGCCTGAGGTATTGGTCACAGCTGCCGAAGCAATAGAGTCCACATCAGACGGCTACCACCATGACTCCGCTACATCCATCTTGAGCTCTGAGTTTACAGGGGTTGAGCCAAGCAAGACTGAGCAGCAGCAGGGCCCAGTGAGATCCATCCTGTCCCCTTTAGAGAAGGGGACACCTCCTAGAGGCCCCAGTCCCCAGACTGTTTCAGCCAGCACTGAGGGAAACATATTCAAGTGTGAAGGAGACCCTGGTGATACCTTTCTAAAAAGGTGGAGCCTTCTGGAATTCCTGGAGTCCAGCCACACCTCCCTGGGAAACCTAAGTCCAGACCCCACGAGCTCTCAGCCAGCTCTTTTAGTTGACACAGAAACATCCTCAGAGATCAGTGGGATCAACATTGTGGCGGGCTCTCGAGTCTCTCCTGATATGCTGTATTTAATGGAAAACCTGGACACCAAGGAAACAGATATCATAGAGCTGAACAACAAGGAAACTGAGGAACCACCCAAATGAGTGTCACAGAGTTCTAGGACCTGGTTCTAGCCTAGATTCTTATCTCCACAAAAGCAGCATTAATCCCAGGACATACCTGAAGGCTGGTCAACGTTTCTAAAACATGATCATACTGTATAAGCTACTGAGAACTTTGAAGGGCATTATGATCCTGACTTTTCAAGAACTGCAAAAAATCAAACACATTCGCGTCATCCATCACAACATGGCTTTCATCAGAAGTTACACAAACCACAATGACTTAATCAAATAAGTCTTAACCAAATAAGGAATCTGGAAAATATACATGACTTATAAATTCATAGATTATTAGCTGTGAAAGAGTCTCATAGACCATAGTCCAATCCCCTAGACCTAAAGGTCCAGACACACAGGATTCTCTATTTCTCTTCTTTTTCTTTTTCTTTAGCCATAAAGAAAGGAGATGGATAAAAAAAAAAAAAGAAGAAAAAAAGAAAGAAAGAAAGGAGATGCATCACATAAATCACATAATGGCTGAAACACCCCCTCCTTCCTTTTTTGTTTGAGGCTTTCTAACCTTCTCATTCCTACTCTCTATAACTATTATTATCATTATCATTTCCCAATTTTTAAGCTTTATCAGCACCAGAACATTTCATTCTCTTCAATTTCCTTTTCTACTTTTCTTTCTTTCCCCTTTATTCTGTCATCCATTTTTTCTTTTCCCTTCTATCTGGTTGTGCTTCTTTTCTAGTGACTCTAATCTGTCCCATTTTTCAGGTTAGAATATTTCTTCTTGCCAAATCTGTTGCTTGCATCTTGCCATGAATTTCAAAATATAAGACACTGGCAAAGCCTCCTACAGAATCATCAAAGTGTCAACAAAGCCAACCTGATACCCTTCCAGCCTCACTTCCCGTGGAAGGCATATAGGAGTGATGGTTCTCCCCATGCCCTTCCAGCCACTGCCATTTCTTTCTGCTTCCACTCTTTGGTCTTGGGCACTGAGAAAAAGGAAGCCAAGAGAATGTGAAACTTACATAGCCAAATGCTATGGAACCAATGAATAAGATGGCTCGCACCTGTTTAACTCGAACTCTTATGCAAAAATCCCAATCATGTTGCAACATGGGACCAGTTACTGTGTCTATCAGGTCATTTGGGAATGAGATAGGATACTGGAGCTGGGTGGCTAATGGGGTACAGGGCTGCATAATGGGGATCAGATGTTGGCTAAGTCCTCCCAGGGAGCTCACGGGACAGCTGTTTGTCATGGGCTCCCAAGTGCCTGGAGGGCCATGCCTTAGGATTGCTGCCCTTACCATTTGTCATATGATGACACTTAACTACATATGGCTTTAGAAATAAAAGAACCCTCATAACCACCATTTATTGAGTGCTCAAATATTCCAGGCAGCAGCGTGTAAAGTTCACAGATGATCTCACTAATCCTCATAGGAATCTTATGAGATTGATATACTGTTATTTCCAGTTTAAAGACAAGAGGAAACAGGCTTTAGAGAAGTAAGGTATTTGCCTAAAATCACACAGCCAAGAAGTGTTCACATTCAAACCAGGTTTATCTGACTCAAGAGCCCACACTCTTAACCTCTATGCTTTCTCACTGTCTTATGCTCCCTGTAAGGCCCTGAATCTGCCAGCAATTTGCCCAGCATTCTGAAGGATGCCGCAAGGGAGCCATGCCCAAATCACAAGTTCAGGCTAAATCTCTCCAGCCTCAAAAGCCTCCTGGGTCCCCCCCGCTCAAGTCTACATGCATCTTTTATGCATTCATAAAGGAGGGCATTGCTCAGGCTTGGAGTACCAGCCATAGTCCTCTACATTTTTCATGACAGAAGAAAGTTGGCAGGATGCTCCTCCCCTTCCCCAGCTCCTCCTGATACATAGTGTTAAAATTAGCATATTTTCAGGCCAGGTACGGTGGCTCACACCTGTAATCCCAGCACTTTGGGAGGCCGACGCAGGTGGATCACAAGGTCAGGAGTCCAAGACCAGCCTGACCAACATGGTGAAACCCCGTCTCTACTAAAAATACAAAAATTAGGCAGGTGTGGTGGTGTGCGCCTGTAATCCCAGCTACTCAGGAGGCTGAGGCAGGAGAATCACTTGAACCCGGGAGGCAGATTGTGCCATTGTACTCTAGCCTGGGAGACAGAGCGAGACTCAACAACAACAACAACAAAAATAGCACATTTTCACAAGACCTCATTATCTCCCTTACATGGCCCAGTGGCTTAATCTTTTGGCTTTGCCCATTCCAAGCACAGCCTCAACTTTCTTCTACATTAAATGTAATCCGAAAGCCAGAGAGTGCGGTGAGGCCAAGCTCTATTTGCTGCGTTCCCTCCCTGCTTTGTAGAGAGAACTCTGCCCTGAAGCTGGGGTCTGCAGTTCAGTAAAGAAATGGGCCACTAACTTTTTCTCTATTTTCCAAGCATTTAGAGATGGCTGGCCCCCAGCAAAACAAAGAAGGCTGTTATCTTCCCTTCCTTTATTGCCCTGACTACTTCGCACCACTCCAGGCATCTGCTTTCAGCCTGGTTCAGCTAAGCCATGGAAAACATTTTAAATGGAATGGAGAAATGTAAAATTCACCATTAAAGTAAAGATTTGCTTAAATCTTAAAGACACACCTCTTCTTTTTAGTGTTTCCCCTCAAACTTCCTTCCTCTCCAGATAAATCGATTAAATTTTTGTTCTTTTTTTTTTTTTCTTTTTAAAGATAAGGTCTCACTATGTTGCCCAGGCTGGTCTCAAACTCCTGGCCTCAGGCAATTCTCTCTCCTCGGCCTCCCAAAGTGCTGGGATTACAGGTATGAGCCACCACACCCTGCCTGATTCCATTTTTAATCATTTTTTGAGATCTTATTGTCATAAAATCTACTCTGAGAATCTACTGAGCCCAGGTGGCCATGTGTTATAATGAAATTAGGAAAACCAGCATTTCCCTTTATGAACTTGAACAAGTCCCCGTTCTTCCGAATTTCTTATTCTCACCTGTAACATGGGCTCTTTTCTGGCTCATTTCCCTGGGCTACTGTGAGGTGTCGTGAGAAAAGGCTGGGCACGCAGCAACACCATATGAATGGCAAGCATGGTGGGGATGAATGCTCCCATGGATTCACCATGAACCTCAGAAAAAGACCTTCATCTCGTCCTCATGTAGTCACTTTGTCAGGATCCCCTTGTTCTCCAGGGTTCTAACCTCTTTCATTCAGGCAGCTTTTCTACTTTCTTCTTTTAGAGACCGTTCTGCTATGTTGCCCAAGTTGGTCTTGAACTCCTTAGATCAACAGATCCACCTGTCTTAGCCTCGAGAAGCTGGGGCTGCTGACACGTGCCACTGTACCTGGCTCAGAAAGCTCTTCTTCTAAGACACACACCATTAAGCTTCCTACTTATTAATCTTGTCATTTCTCTTTTCACTTTTTTTTTCTTTCATATGCTTTGGAGCTCCTCCCACATCCTCCTTCTCCGCAGCATTTTCTGTCATAGTTCTTCATACTCCACCATATCCCACACCTCCTCACCACGGCAGTGAGTTCCCCCTCTAACCCATTATGTGTCTCCATCTCCTCCATCAAAACATGCAGCTAGAGAAAAGCAGTTCCTTCTGTCTTCTCCACTATCAATCTAGAGGATTTACAACCTCTGGTTCAAAGTTAGAAGACCCTCCTGAGGGATCTAACCGCCCTAACCCTGGTCCTAGATCAGTTAATTAGAAAGAGTAACTACAACTGTAAAACCTCCTAAGAGAACACTGAAACCTAATTCCCCCTGCCCTCCCTCATCACAATCATTTACATGATCAACAACTAACATTTTCTGATGCGCTGGGCTATTAACAGTAACAACCAAGGGCTTCCTCATTTCGTCTTGTTGAGCTGTGTCAGATAGGGCCTCAATACTTTTACACGTTTTTTGTTTTTTTTAGTTCTATGGACCTTAATTTTTAGGACACGCTTTTCCATTCATATGGCCACTGATTCAAAAGAACCAATTCAAGAATACCAGGATCGTTCTGTTTTTGAAAATCTTACAAAACCCAGAAAAAAGACTCATTCACTGGCAAAGCTTGAGAGACAGAATCCTAAGAAACATTCACCTCTCTCGAAGCTCTCTCTTCATCACCTCCACCTGTGCAGCCAGCGCATACCCGGCCATGGCAAATGGAAAAGGAACCAATTTCCCTGTAAAATAGAGACCCAAAAACCACATGTGCCCAAATAATTAATTCAGTTTGGAGATTACATTTTTGTGTTTTATTTTGTTTTGTTTCTGCATTAATTCAGAAAGTGGGCTTAAACCTTCCTTTTGTCCCAGGTAGATTTGGCCAGGTGGTTACCTAGAATCATCTTCTCTGACCTTCTAATTTAAGACATTTGCCAGAAGCAGCAAAGGGAATGTTACAGCTTGTATCCTGAAAACAAATAAGAACGTTTCTAAAATGGGTTTTGCACAGAAGTGCCGTTGTGTTCCAGGTTCTTTGTCTTGGCCAGCGGCTCTCAGCCAGAGATGGCTTTGCACCCAGAAGATATTTGACGATGTCTGGAGATAATTTTAGTTGTCATGCTGGGGAACATTTCTGGCATCTAGTGAGTAGAGGCCAGAAATGCTGCTAAACATCCTACGATGCACAGGACAGACATCCACAACTATTTGGCCCAATATACCAAGTTTGAGAAACCTGATTTAGGCCAATAAGAAGGTAAAACTGAGACAACCCCCAAGGAGATTAGTGATGAGAGACGAGCTAAAGAAAGAAATAGAACTAGAAGAGAATAGATTAGCCCAGCAACAGGCTAAATTCCTATTCTGTGTACAAGCTGTGAAATAATTACCATTTCTCCCTTGATGCTAGAGGATCTGATATCTCAAATTCAGAAAAATCAAATTTGAACCCTGAGGTTCATGCTTAGATTCTTTGAATGGCTCCTACCAGTAAGAGTAGCTAAATGCCATTGCTGGCATGACTGCAATTACCCGAGATCATAGTTTATATAAAGAGGGACAGTAGATTGGGCACAGTGGCTCATGCCTGTAATCCCAGCACTTTGGGAGGCCAAGGCGGGCGGGTCACTTGAGGTCAGGAGTTTGAGACCAGCCTGGCTAACATGGCAAAATCCCATCTCTACTAAAAAAATACAAAGGGAGGTTGGGAGGGACAGAACTTCCCAAACAATAAGCTCTAACAGAATGCCTGACACTCAATAGTTGTTCAATGTTTCATGAATAACTATGAATAAAAGTCCATCTGGTGACATCATCCAGGATTTCACCAATTCCCTGATGTTATTCTGCTGGAAGTCTGAGACAGAGGAATCTGAGTTTGCTTGGCTCGTGGGAAGGTGGTAAACTGACCCCATCCATTGTAACTGTTTTCTACCAAAAAGTCCTTTCTAAAATAAAGAGCCAAATT